TGTGTGAAATAGAGATCGACCTTGGACTTTAAGAATGTTGACAGAAGGAGCCTTAGTGACTGTATTATGTAAGATAAGCTATTCGTTGGAACAGCTCCACAAGAAGACGGACGCTATGAATACTAAACTTGAGAACTTGGGACAAAAAGTGACTAATTTGGAACAAAAAGTGACCATTAATACAGAAATTGTTCAGGATTTGACACAGGAACCTACACTGACAGGACAAACTGGGGAGAAGACGAAGGAGAATGTTGGTGTTGTTAAACCTAAAATAATACAAGTGGAAGCCCCAGTTTTACAGAGGCAAACTGAGGACTATAAGTGGAGGCCTTTTATGAATGAATATAGAAAAAGTCAGAATTTGAAGATTGGAGCCCTGTTTGGATTGAAGAAGGAAGGTCGGATAGACTCTTTCATGCAGAGATCTACTGACCTTTGGGTCCTGAATCTGGGTCAGGAGGTGATTGGAGTTGTGGGGGCCTTTGGATCTGGGGGAGCCTTGAAACATGATTTGAGATATTGTATGGACACTGGTTTTAGCCGTGGAGAGTTGGTTGGTCTGTCAAGAGGGAATGGGGGCATGGTTGGGTCGCCCCCCCCCCCAAGACCTGCGCTTCAGCACCCTCAGCATCAAAGAATATGAAGAAAAACTGCAGAAGGGACTTGGAAAAGATTTAAGAGCCTCGGACAGAAGATCTCCAGGTTGATGAACTATATGGAATGGACAGAAATGACTGGCAGAATCCGAGACCAGGGAGAAGAGATGGTGGTAGAAGATTGGGAAAGTTTAAAGTTTATATATAGAAATATTGTAAATTTAATGAGTGTTAGAAAATTGTTGGAATGAAATTTTATGGCTTTAGCAGAAATGTTATAAGGAGCTAGGTATAAATAAGTATTTCAGTATTAATGGAAAATAAGGTATAAAATATGTTAAGATATTCATAATGATAAAAATAGAGAAAGATGGAAAGGAATTGCTGAAACAAGTAATAGAAGTGGAATACAAAAAGGGAGGTGAGAGGAGGTCGATGAAATAAGGGAATGAAAGATAGAGTAATGAAATGGTATGATATATGTTTTTAAATTGTTGTTCTTTTGTTTTGTTTTGTTTAGTTTAGTGTGTTAAGGTTGTGTTTTGTATTGTTTATTGTATTGTATTGTATTGTTTTTTCTTTTATTTCTCTTTTTTCTTCTCTGCTCTATTTTGTCTTTTTCTTTCGCCTATTTTCTTCTTTCTTCTTTTCTTGTAAGTTTCAAAAGCAATAAAGATTTTTTTTTTTTAAATGATTGTATTGTTTGTTACAAAGTTCAATACTGGGTATACAATCCTCTTGGACCCATTTGTGGATTTGTTGGGTTGCATCGAGAAAGAGAAGTTTCAAGTGCACCAAAGGAAATAGTAGACCTTCAGGGGAAGGGGCAGAACACATGCTTTCATGCAGACGATACCAGGTTCAATCCCTGACAACTCCAGGCAAGATAGGGAATATACTCCCTGTCTGAAACCTCAGAGAACTGCTGCCAGTCAGTGTAGCCAAATGATTTGTGCCATTTAGAGTTCGTTTGTACTCAGATTTGAGTGTGAGTTCTAGGAAAATTGGTTCCCATTTCAAGCATATGTTGAACTCAGGAAGGGGGATGTGTTAAGGGCTTGGTAGATTCCTCCCTGTGTTTACAATGACACTCACAAAAAACATAAGCCAAGTTTAAAACATGTTCAGAAAGCTAACACATAATTTGTAATATATTGTGTACAATACTTTCAATAAGTTTCATCTCTGGTCACTCAGTAAAAATAATACGTATGAGAAAAATTGTTGGTGAAATGAATGGTTAATGAAGTGTTCGTTAATGTATTGCTTTTTTTTAATGAAAAAATAAACCTTCAAATGGGAAAGTAGTTTAAAAGAAGTCAGGAAAAAACATTTTTAAAGATTCCATTCAGCAGGTCATATGCATTAATTTGGAGGCATTTTTTAACACACAACCAAGCAAAGAAAACAGAATACGTCTTTAAAATTATTGCTATATTTAGCAGGTTGTTAACATCACCAACATGCATATTTTCTGTGAATTCATATTTAATACAAATATTTTAAAATACCAGATCTGAAAATGTTAACCATTTTAATAACTGACCTTTCCCCCCAAATATAGTCCTTTGGCATAGCAAACAGTATTTTCAGAATTATAATAAATACATATTTTAGGCTGCCATCCTATACTTCTTTATCTGGGAGCAAGTTCTGTTGAACTCCATGGGACTTACTTCTGCGTAGACATTAATAATAATTTGTTTCTTATACCTCGCCCATCTGACTGGATTACCTCAACCACTCTAAGTGGCTTCCGACAAAATATAAAGGGACAAAACAAAACTGTTGATTCCTCCAATAACCTACACTGATTACTCCTAGCAATTATTTTAGGGCATGTACATTTTCATTTTCAATTTGATCTACCAGTTTGTACAGGGGAAATGAAAAAAGAAACCAGCTCTTCAGAAAAGATTCTAAATACTAATCAGGCTACTGAAACTACATTTATGCTACTTTGTCAGATGCATCATAAAACATTACTATATTATTAATCATAATATTGTTTAAGTAAGGCAAGATTTTTTGAAAGAATTTAAATAGTGTATTTCTCTTATATGATTAAAATCAGATGGTCTGGCCACCTTATTGTTCTGATATCACTACATACAAAGCAATGTCAATACACAACAAAACATCCTCTAAGGATGGAATCACACTGGAGGAAGCTGTAATCTAGAATTTACTTGGTCAGTCATACCACATGATGTCACAATAGGAGAGCACTGACTATTTACACAATGGTTTGATTGGCAAGAATGGTTTGAGTGTAAACAATGGTGAGTCAAGTGCCTTGAGAAATGCATTGACCAGCTTGTTCTTACCTAGAAAAGTTGTTGTTAATTCTGTTGCAGACTTAAAGTGAGCTAAGAACAACACACAAGGCTCTTGTTTTTAAGATAAAACACCTATTTTGTTGCACGTGGCAGTTTCAAGTATGTACGAACGTATATTCATTTGCCGCATGAGCTACATTAAATTGCACAGTAATGTTATGCCTCAGGAAATAGATATTTTTTTGATCGTATGCCTAGATCTTACAGAGCTCTATAGAGTACGATGAATATTTAGTGCTTGAACAAGGCATTGTATCTAGTGATGGAAACAAAATATTTGAGAATATAGTATATAGAAGTGATTTGATAAATCCGTTTAGCTATACTTTACAATTATAACTTACAATTTTAAAAAAATTCAAACTATTCCCCCACCCCTCTTGACTTAAGAGATGGTTTGAACTTATATGCAGCATCATGGACCATGCTTGAAGATACAGGTTAGTGGGTGACGAAGGGACAAACTGCATGTAACTTGAACTGCACAGTTCTGCCCTGAATGCAGCTCCCCCAAACAAATACACCACTTGTCAGCATGGAGGCCCCAATCCAGACCGTAGCATGGGATTTAACCCTTTCTCTCCTACTGCTGTCTGTATCTGGATCAAGGTCCTTCTGCCTGCAGTTTGCATTGCAAGAAAAGCTCCCACTAGTTTCTTAGGGGTCATTTTTGTTTGGTTAATTTGCCATGCAAATTACAAATGATGATGACGATCACAGGTTTATGCTTTCCCAGAAATGTCTGTTTCCCTCCAGACTGATAACGACAGGTGCTATATGGAACATTGAGGTACGCTAACAGATTATTGTCAGTTTCTGGCACTTTGATAAAAGAGAGGTTCGTTGATGATAGGAAGAGGCAAGTCCTAAGAACACAAGAAAAGCTCTGCTGGATCTGAACCAAAGACCCATTTAGCCCAGCATCCTGTATTCACAGTGGCTAACCAGATTCCTCTGTGACACCTGCAACCAGGACGCAAGGGCAACAGCACTCTCTTTCATATTCTACCCCTTCTGTTAGGAGTATTTTTAGGTTTGGAAATATTGCAAGATGCTAAATTTAAAACATTAGTTTTTCATCCACGTATGCGCATTTAGTCTTTTGATTGTCCTCTAGGTTCTATAGCACGGGAATGCAATTTAGTATGCATCTCTCTAATCTCAATACTTCAAAAGATCACTTGAACAGGCAACAGCCAGATTATGACCGAGAAGATGCTCCTCGGTTTCTTCTTTGAAGTGAGACTCAGTGACCCACCTGCCTCACCATTCCTTATCAGTAGCGGGGGTGGGGGCTGAAAGGCCTTTCATCCTTGGTGCTCATTGTCCAGAATATACACACATACACACACCTGAGTGGTTCTGGAGGCTTTGTTCCTCCATCAAATTAAGTTTCCCTGTCATACAGAACTCTTTTCAACAACTTGTCATCCTATAGCTTAGCAATGTATATACTCTGATAATTTACCAGCAGTTCCTTGTATCTTTTTAAAAATTATTATTTCTAGTTACATGTACTTCGGCTTATGCTTTGCAGCATTAGATTATAGTTTACGAAGATTGGGGTGTGCTTGGTTTGTTTGTTTGTTTTTTAAAAATCCAAGTAACATGTCTTTGTTAGTTCCAATTCATCTCTAGTGCTTACTTAAATTAAACAAAAGATTTACAATGATTTGCTCTTTAATTCCATAATAGCCTACAGTTGTGTATCAGCGAATCACTAGGAATTACTCAACCGAAGGAAAAGAATACATAAGCCCCAATAATTTCAGATATTAATTGCATGCTTAACTATCCCTCTGGCATTGATGGGTCTGAGGTGCTTAACTTTGGCTGGATCATGTCCACTGTATTGAAACATAGCATGTAGTGCAATAGGAGGAACTTTACCTTAAAAACTGTTACTTTGGCTCAAAAATACTATACATATAATCTCATCTGAGTGCAATTGTACATTAGAGGACCAGTGTCTCATTGCAGGGCTTGAACCATGAGGCTAACAGATTTGACATTTGAGTACATCAGAGTGTCTATAAATTGTCAGTTAACAAGGCTTCTCTTTTCACACCGAGTCAACCTTGACTAAATTGTTGTTTGTGATCAGTGGCGAGGGCTTGCTTTTCATCCTGTCGACTGCATCATTTGAGCTGTCCTGGAAGAAAACTCTTGCTGTACAAATTGTCACAATAATTCGTTTGTATTCTCGTCTAAAATTCTGGTTCAAAAGTCCATAGATGATAGCATTAAGGCAGCTGTTGAAGTATGCCATGTAGTAACTGGAAACAAACAACCACTCTGGAATTCGGGGAATTATTGTTTCTGGGTTGACAGCCACTGCAAGGCCTATAAAATTCAAAGGAGCCCAGCAGACGGCAAAGAGTACAAACACCACAAACATGGTGACAAAGTTCCTAAAGTCATGTGGCTTTAGTTTGGGTTTGTTGTCGGGTTTAACTCTCCTCCGTACCTGAATGACCAGGATCCATATCCTCAAGTAGCAAAATGTAACTATGGCTATTGGGAGCATGAAATGGAAAAACACAACAGCTATTGTGTACGCTGAGCTCACCGACTGGGAGAAGGTGCATGAGAAGATCCTGGCATCATACTGAAGCGACCCAACAAAAAGATTGGGCACAATGGCAACAAATGTCAGGACCCAAATAAGGATGACGTAGCACAAGGAATTCTTGTCACTGTACAGCTTGTCATACTTGAGGCTGTGGCAGATGTAGCAATATCGGTTAATTGCAATTCCAGTAATGTTGAATATGGATCCAATAACACTCAGGCCCATAAGAAATCCACTGATCTGGCAGTGGATGTATCCCAGGTTCCATCCATTGTGAAAGATAGATGTCAGGACCAGAGGGTATGGGTAGATTGCCACAACCAGGTCAGCGATGGCTAGGCTGACAACGAAGACATTGCCTGAAAATGAAGCATACAGAAATTGATAAATTAACAACGGTAGGGTTTGTTTTAACCAAAGCACATTCCAGCTGACCTCCCAACTTCATACATCTATCTAACAGCTTTTGCACACGACAGAAACAACACATTGCCTACATACATAGCTAAGCGAGGTGTTAAAATCTGAAAGGGATACAGTAGGCTGTTCCACTTTGGACTGCAGGTGAGAGGGTGGGGTATCATTCTGAATGTTCCCATATATTATAAACTCACGGGGGGGGGGGGATAGTTCGCTCCTTGCTGTGCTAGTTTGCTATTTGCAAGGAATTGGGTGTTTCTTCCTTTTACTTTTTGGATGTGGTTGTTTTTACAAAGAAGTACATTAAAAAAATCCTCACCACCACCTTTGCTGCAGTCTGAAGCCACCATGCCCATACCACATTCCCCACCACTTTGCCCCCTCCCTCTTGGTAACTGGCAACCAATGTCAGGTTAGCTATGGCACACTGTCTGCTCTGCCCTGCCAACAACTACAGATCTGAAGTCATAAAATATTTGTACCACCCTGTTCTGATATATGTGTAGATCCAGCCTGAGATGTTCAATTTCTAAGAATAGAAGAAGTTCATAGAACCAGAGAATCATATTGCTAGAAGCGGTCTTGTAGGCCACCTAGCCAACCCCACTGCTCAATGCAAGGACTCCAGTTCTAGAGCTTCTGCACCAACTTCAGCTTGAAAACACCCAAGAAAGGGAGAACCCACACCATCCCTCTAGGTAACTAGTCCCATTACTGAACTATGCTGACAACCAACAAGACTCTTCAACCTTATTTAAGCTCATTAGATCTAGCCCTGCGCTTTGATGCAGTAGGAAACAAGTTCTTGTCCTCTTCTATTGACAGCCCTTCAGGTATGTGAAGGGTGCTATCATGTCTTCCTTACTCCTCCAGGCTAAACATATCCAATACCTTTGACCTTTCCTCACAGGATGTGTTTTCTATGCTGGTGTCTAAATCCACAGTAGTAGGATGAGGAAGAAAAATCACAGGGAAGTGAGGGGGGGGGTCTCTTGTACAGGCAACTCCCACCACTCTTCATCAACTAGCCAGTCTCTATCACACACCAAAATTCATCTCTAGCTGCAAGTAGCTATTCCTAACTAGTTGTGCATAGCTGTGCATAGCTAGTTATATCAGAATGCAATCTAAACCCGGGAGTAAGCTCCACTGAACATAATGGGCTTTACTTCTGCGCAAGCATGCAAAGGACTACCCTCTCGGGTGTGCATCCAATGAAAAGCAATGCAATGCAGAGAGATGTCAGCAATTGCAAGGCCCCCAGTATCCACATTGCCAGCCAGCCTCTGGCTCAGCTGGTTGCACACAGCTCTGCATGACTGGAGCTTGGTCAGGGCACCAGCCTTCAAGCTCACCCTCTGAAATGGCACTCCAGCCATGAAGAGATAAGGAAACACTGTATGAACTCCACACCTACTCTAGGGAAGTTTTATTCATTTTACAGTTGATATCCTCTCCCTCAGATGTGGAATGCCTATTTTAGAATCCAGGTTCTATATATAAACCTGACTTGTATCAAAAATTCCATGTGCATATTAAATTTTAATTATGTGACAGGGGCCTGTGGGATTGACTTCTGATTAACAAATTAAATCTGGTGCTGCAGGTGGCCTTGCAAGAGAATGTGAATGGCTTCAAACTCAAGCATTCAAGCACGTGTCTTCCAACATATCTCCCCATCTAAAAATAGGTCTTACATGTTACATTATTTAGCAATTTTCACAAGGCTCTATTTTTGTTGCTCAGCTGGGAGAGTTGTACAGCAGTCACGTTAGTGGGCAGCAGAGTGACTGCTTGGCAGAAGGTACAAGTGGAACTTGCCAGTCATGTAGGAAGGGACCCAGATAGCCTTGAGGGCAGACTGCTCCAGACAAAAGCCTTCTAACAAGACTTGACTAGCTGCTAAAGCCTGACCATCAAGCTAAAAATGAGGCCAGAAGGGCTGCTCATGAGATACCCCAACATTCAAGATCCCTAGAATCCTAAGAGTCCTCCCCACACACCCCCCCATTGCACACACCCCAACCCAGCCCACCCTTATATGCTGGTACACGTTAAAGATATTCCCTTCCTTCTCTTTTTGAAACGTTAGACTGGGATTGTGAACAGATTACAGGGAGTGCCATTTGATAAAAGACCAGTCTTGAGCAAAGGATGATCCCCTTGAGTCCCCTTGAGTAAAAAGGGATTAGATGCTGCACAATCATGCAGGTGTTGGGTTTTAGAGACTTTGCTGAGGATTTATTTAGTGTGCTGTTGGGAGTAAATATTAGGGTTGGAAAGGAAGTTGATTAAGCAAGTCTAATTATGGGAAAACTTTATAAACATGAGTTAAATCAAAGCCACACGTCTGATCGTTTTCCTACAAAGACTCTTGTAATTTTGCAAAGTGTTGACCACCATTCTTCCTAGGGAAAAATATATTGCATCTTAAGTTGAATAAGGTCCAGAATGTTAGGTTTGGAAGAAACTATGGGCTAAAATGCATTTTGAATTCTCTGGTGCCTTGTGAAGGCTTCAGATGCCAGGCACTGCTGGCAATATATTACCACTCATTTCAATATCTTCAATAATCACTGACGAACAGCACAATGTAATTGCAGTCTGGCAGATATTTGAAGTACTGTGTGCTGTGTAAACTTTAATCTGTTACGATATTTAAGATGAATAGTTTATTGTCTTTCTCAGTTTATCTCAGCTAATCATTTTGGAAGTGTGTTGAGAATTTCACAGCTGTGTAGATTTTCATTTTTGTCACCAATATGGAGGCATCCAATGCTAAGAAGTCAACATTGTGTTTGTTCTCAGTACAGCTTAAAACATGTGATGTTCACACACACACACACACACACACACACACACACACACACACACACCATCCTCATACCTATATTGCTCAGGAATTCTAAAAACCAAAGAAATCAGTGCAGTTTTGAAATAAGCAGCTTAAATCAGTGAAGTTGTGAAAGGTTCAGTCTGCCTTCTTACATCCAACCATAGAGGACAACTTGCTCCTTGTTCTCAAGATCCACCATGAAAAATGTGGTTATGATATCTTAAGGTACCCAAATGCAAGGCAAACAGACAACTTTCTAAAATATGTGGTAGATAATACACACCATACTTTAAGATCACAGTTAGGCTGAGTAAGAAGAGTACATTATAGCTTTATTTTTCTGCCATTTGTCCAACAAAAACACTCCTTCAGGTGTTTCCCCACTCACAGCAAAAGATAAAGATAGATAGTAGATATTCTGCAATAGACAAGTTTACAAAACATGGCATGCTTTGGAATCCCTAGAAGAGTATGCACTTGCAATTCTGTTCTCACCTACATGCATTCAACAGTGCTTGTGAATAAATCTTGTGCACTACTAAATGTATGCACAGAGGTTCTCCATGCCCAGCTTGGGAACTGGAAAAAGCTGAGAGCCTTCCTTTATTCCATAGAAACTTCTCCTACTTTGTGAATACTTCTTTATAGGAAAGCCTAAAGAACTCTCAAAAGGTTGCTGTTTCAGTGTACAATTGTTCCAGTACTCAAGAGCAGTATATTTCCATTTCCCACTGGACAAATCTGATATTATTCTAAGTCAAGGTGAACATATTGTTCTAAGTCAAGGCGCACAAGGTGCGTTTCCTCACATTCACATTATTATCTTCAGCATTCTTCCCTCGCTCTCTTCCTCAGTGACAGTTTTAGTTTGTAACCCCTCAAGGGATAAGGCCAGTGCTTGTTTGCATAACTGAATAATGCATTCGGTACATTTGATGATATTGCATAAATATCAAAAAATCTTATAACTGATGTATCTGTTGGAAGTGGAACTTCAGGGATCATTCAGTTTGCAGCTTAAGGGTTAATCTGGTTGTCAGTGAGCAAACCGGTCAAAAGGAGGTGGGGTGGAGGTGTTTCTTAGCAACCAGGGAGGTAGCATGATTCTTAGTGAGGTAGCTGTGAGTGCTTGTGTATGTGTCTGGGAGCTTTACTCTGAATATTTAGTTGATTCTAACCCAGTTCTCAACAAGGCCTGCCCCTAAAAGACTAAACCCGTCTGTTTCTTTCTCTTCAAGTCAAATACTGTTTTGTTTAGTTTGCTCTGTGAAATGTTGCCAGAATTCCTCTCTGGGGTCCATTTGCTTTAATTAAGTGATTCTGCTAACTGTATCATCATTCCTATTAAACACTACTCAAACAAAGCCATAATCCACACACAATATAACAAGGCAATTCTCTATACAGTGGAGAGGAAAGACTTGAGAGATCAGGTAAGCACTGGAACAATCCCCTTGTGTAAGCATTGGAACTACCAAGACAAAAACTACTACCACCATTCCTAGCCATGAAAAAATGGTTCCCATCAGCTAAATCATGGCATTGGTTTTGCCTCAGTGATGTTACTAGGCTATCCTAGACTCACTGCTTCTGTAACTTGGAGAAAAATAGCCTGCATTGCAGGTGGAGCTGTGGGTTAAACCACAGAGCCTAGGACTTGCCGATCAGAAGGTAGGCGGTTCGAATCCCTGCGACGGGG